CTTCAACCTTCTCAATGGTCAGGTCTTCTGCTGGTCCTCGTAGTGCTTCCCCATGATCCTGTTGGACACCCCCCTTGAGTTCAACGGTGAGGGAATCCCATATGCGCCGCCTCCCTTTTCTCATGGCCTTGTGGCCTTTTACCACTGTCTTCGCAAACTTCTCCGTGTAGTGCCCAGCGGGTTTGGTATTTTATGGTATTTTGTCCTGCCGTGAGGGTGTGTTCATGATCACCGGAGCAGGGACGTGAGAGGAACTTCACATAGGCCTCGTCGGTACACATAACCTTAGTAGGCTTCTTGAGCAAACCACCATCCGATGCGGCTCGGAGATCGAAGCTGCACATATCAAACTTTGCCTCCATGAAGGCTGGACTGCTCAAAAGTTCTTTCATATCAGGTTGTTCCCAGAGTTCAGAATCCCTGGGATGCTCAAAAGCCACATGGTTTCCCCCGGCGATTTGCCTGTGGGCGGCCTTCACGACTAGCTGGATCAGCTTCTTTTGCTTTGCCCTTCTCCGACGAAGTTCTTGAGGTCGATCTTTAAAGTTCAGCCTCGTCCATGGTCCCCACAGCGTGCAAGGGAGTGCGACCCAAACCCATTCGGGTCTGAAGGTATCGATCTCGTCCATGACCCGGTCCTGCTCATCAGGGAGGCTGAGATCGTGTCCATGGATGATATCCCGAGGCTCAAGTACAGGCATACCTGCCTTAGCAAACTCCAGGGTCAGTTGTGCTCCCCCGCAAAATAGTTCAAGCAGAGCAATCCTGTCATCTGCGGGGTGTGGCTCAGGAAAACACCGGGAAGCTGCCCAATCTCTCACGTCCTTGGTCGAGTGGTCCACCGCCTCCAAGACGGTTGAGGTATAGGCCAAGAGGACGGTGGTGATGAGGCCGAGTGTTTTCTCTGCCCAGTTCTTCACTCGTTTCCGGGCTGTCCTTCGCATCTTGTGACCCGGGAGTCGTTTCACCCTGTCATAATTCGTCGGGATAGAGGAGCTTGACCTTGGGCGTCTTGATCGTCTCGTCGTCGTTCTCCTGGGTGTGGTTGTTCTCACTGTCGGAGATGTCGTTCTCGACATTCTTGAAGAACTCCTCCGCAAGCTCCTCGTCCTCAGAGGGTTCGATCTTCACCTCAGTCCCGGCTGAGTTCATAGTTTCGCCCTTCTCCTTCCCGAGTTGTTTCTGCCTTTTGACCGCAATGCTCTCAGTCACCTGCTGCCAGTATTGGCGTTCTTTGCGGCGTCGATTTGAGCCTTGAGCTCGAGGACAGTCTTCTCCAAGTCCAGGATCCTCTCGTGGTCGATCTCCTTCTCCGGGTCGGTGACCATGGAGTAGTCCTCCTCGTCCGATGAGCTGGCTCGTCCTTTCTTGCGGGGTGTGCTTTTGGTCTTTGGTTTCACTTCCTTCGACCCTTTTGCTGCTGGGAGGCATGACTTGGGTGGAAGCTCCGCGGGCGGCGGTGCTTTCCGAGTCACTTCCTCCGGGTCGCGGTACCCCTTCGGTTTGGAGATCCCTGCTGAGCTGGTGGCCTTCCCCTTGTTCTCCTTCGCCCACTTAACCAGCCGCGCCAGGTCCGGAGAGTGGCTCTCGTTGTTGTGGCACTCGTCGATGGCCCAATCCAAATAGCTCATAGGCACCTCGCAGTATCGGTACCTTCGATAGCGCCCGAAGGACACCAACTCGTTCGGTGTGGCCGGCACCCCGTCCCTGATCATCCGCATCAGCAGCCCCCTCGTAGGCTTGGGAGGTGCCTGGATATCCAGGTCCTTGCACTTTTGGATGAGTTGGTCCAGCTTCATCCCACTGAGCCCCTTGAGTTCGGAGCTGGTCACCTTCTCGTCGTCCCTCTGTTCCGTCAGCAGATCGTAGTTCTGGGACTGTCCATTCCGGACGGACGGGCGCCCCAAGTGCGGTCAGAGTGGCCGTCAGCTCGGGTTTGTTCATCTTCCATGGCGAGATCTGGGTCGATGACATCCGAGGGCAGGTCACAAACTTGGAGCTCGGGTTCACGATCACGAGCGGGCTTGAGATGTCTCTCAAAACGGCTTCGCCCAACCCATAGATACTTGAACTTGACTTCACCCTGCTCCTTCCAGTTTCCTGTGTGGGTCAGAGGCATGGCGGTGGTAGTACATGGTATTGTGATAGTTTCGCACCCCTCAGCAAGTTGACCCAAAAGATTTTCTTTGCTGTTTGCCAGGAACGAGGGTCGAACGACGATCTTCGCGGTGTGACATGGATGCGGTACAAGAACTTGGATGTCTCAATCCAAAAATCACGATAATAGTTTTTGGAGCGCCACCAGTGCAGGAAGGCCTCGTGAGGAAATGGTTCACCAATCAACATGTCTTGGACCCCATAGGACAATTTCTTTGTATACCGCTTGCGCAGTGGGAACGTAGATCTCAGTGAGACTCCAGTCAACTCGCTCAGGCCAAGACAGCAGCTGAGTTTTGCTGCTCGCAACTGCCACTTGTGGATGGCCTGAAACACTCATGATCATGCGCACCGCGTGCACATGCAAATTGGAAAAGTCAGCAATGCCCTGGGCTATGTCATAGCGCATCCCCAGAGCTCCAAGTGCAGGTCGGCTCAAGAGCAGTGGCACATCTGCGCCAACCACACTGATCTTCACAGCAAACCAGGCCCCGTGGATGGTGAGCCAGGTCACCAAAGCCTGTTTTGATGGATAGAGACGTTCTCATTCTGCTTCAGGATGAAGTACGGAACGCCGACCTTCTTCAAGTGGTTGATGAAGGCCACCGTCCATGAACGCCCGGCCAAAGTCCGGCTGCAAGCGCTCCATGCCGACCGCTGGTCAATGTCCTCGAAGTAGGGGTTGTCGTCGTAGATCACCTCATTGTCCATGAAGACATTCACCTTGGTGTTGAGGTCGTCATAGAAGTCCACCTCGTCGTTGGTGATCTCGGCTGCAGGAACCTGGTCAATCACGGCCATGTAGACCACATGAGTAGTGTGCAGTTCCCCACTTGTCTTCCCCTTGTTCGCAGGGCATTCAGGATCCTTGTGCCAATGACCCTTCTTGCGACATACTGAACAGTAGCTTCTGGCCTTGGCTTGTTGCAATCGTACCTCCTTGGACTGAGGAAACCCCCTTTCTTTGAGGGCAGCCCTGTATTTGCTCTTGGCATTCCTGAAAGCTACATAGGCCTCATGGGTCGCCTCATCATCCAAGAACTCCTCGTCCTCGAGGTCGGAGAGGTCCGCGGTCCTCCATCTCACCCTCATCGTCCATGGAGGCCATGAGGGCCTGGTGCCCCTTCTTCTTGTCCTTCTCCCTGTCCTCAGTGCGTCGATCTCCGTCATGACGTCTTTCCCAAAGCCGACGGCTCATTCTGTCCTGGATGATGGCAGCATCCTGGAGCTTGCTCAGGCTGTAGAGATTCCCAACTGAGGCAAGGAGGTTGAGCTCCGTGGCATTGTCGAGTCTCATCTTGTCCACATACCACCAGGCGAGGCAGGTGTCCGGCAACGAGCATCCTACCTCTTTCATTCGGCTGACCTGTCGATCGAACTCCTGGTTGAAGTCCCTGATGTCCTGGTTGCTCCCCTTCTTAAGCACTTTGAAGAAGTCCGACATGTAGCGCCCGACTTTGGTGACCTCTCGATCCATGTACTTGTCCTGAATCCAGGATATGAAGATCTCCACCCCATTGTCGGCATCGAGCACGGAGAGGTCCAACTCTTCAGCGTCCCGCCAGGCTCGGCCTGAGAGGCTGTTGTACAACATGAGTGCTTGCTTATTTCGAGCTAGGCGGGTCACCCTTCTCCAGGCGTCAACCTTCCGGATGTAGCCCTTTGCTTTTACACCGTCACGATCATCTTCTCCAGAGTACTCGGGGACCTGAATCTTATCGTGGCCGCCGGAACCTCCACGACGGTCATCTCCACCTTGCCACGGATCTCCACCTGGTGAGGTCCACCAAGGATCGCCCTGAGAACCACGAGGAGCTGTAGGAGCTGCAGAACCCTCTAACGAAGAAGACGGCCCAGGTCCATTCCCCTGGACAGAGCCGCCGCCGCCGCCGCCGCTAGGCGTAGCCCCCCACGCATAGTAGCTGTGCCATTGCCTCCATTCAGCTTCTGACCATTCTCTCTTCTCCCAAGACCTCTCGGAAGTCCTCTCCGAACCTGCATCTTCTCGTTCCTCGGTCCGTTCTCCTCCATCATCTTCTGGTCCTTCTTCTCCGGCAACAGCTGGCGAAGGCATAGCGTCCTCCTTTTACCCCAAGTAGACCCCACGAGCCACCCACGGAGACCACAAACAAAAAGTCCACTAGAAGCCGTATCCACGGGATACGGAACCGGCTCAACGCTACCAATGTAAAACAGGAAGGGACGCGGTCCTTTTACCTTCAGCAAACCCTTGTGCCTATACGGCGACCGGTCAGCAGGAATCAACAGAGGGGTCCTTCATTGACAGTTACTAGTAGCGTCTTGTTACTACTGAATTCCATATCACTGGTTTCCACTCGCAACTCCGTGGGTTTCACCACCTCTTCGGCCACTTCCACGCACCGCACCGGAGCGGCCGAAGACACAAAACCGAGCTGTGAAAAGCCAGGACCCGCACCGCAAAAGTTTGTTGCCAGGACTCAGGACCCGTGTTGTTGAATTGGTGAGTCTTGGGGGATGGGCGCATGCACCACAGGTCAATTCAACTGACCCTGAAGCCTTGACAGCCTTGACCAACTTTGACCAAAGTGAGCTTTCACACTCTGACACAAGCTTGTCGCGCAAAGGCGGCCTCAATAGATGCAATAGGTGGCTTGAACATGCTTGAACTAGAGCACTTGAAATATCTTGAACCTCTTCTAAAGGGCCTTACTACTAGTAACAAGAAGCTACTAGGGGCTCCTGGCATCGCTTTTAGGAGCAAGGACGCTATTGAAGGTCCTTTTCCATTTGTGTTTGGGACATCTTGGGACACCTGTCTACTTAGATGTGCTCCGGTGAAGAACTCTCTGGCTTTACGCCATGTTTCTCATGGCTTGGTCCGAGCCTTCCACAGGGGGACCGCACCGGTCTCGCCGCATGGGGCCAAGTCAGAAGGGCACCTCAATGGGTGATGTTGCAAAGAAGTTGCTTTTCCCAAGAAAAAATAAACCGCAATTCTGCAATTTTTTGCGATTACATTGAGATCTCGATGAATCTCTATGATTCGGAGGTGGAAGAGGGGACCACATGCATCCACGTCAAATGCGTCGGAAACTCATCTGCTAAGTCACTATGACATGTTTGGAATGAGCTTGGTCCGGTAGCACTGATGAGCTTGGGCCTCCAACATGGGAGTAGATTCACCGTGGACGGCACAGGCACCAAACAATGAAGCGAGGATGGACCCCTCTCCAATGTGGTTTCTTACCATCTACTCTGAACTCGCCGAACACGTTTTGAAGTATTCATGCATTTCTCAATGGGTCTTTGACGATCTTCTTGACTGTTTCTCCAACGGTTGGTTGCTACAGAGTGCCTCAAATGATCATGATCTCACCTACACAATAACTGATTCTCCAACTTTCGCCGAAGTGACACAGCTTAGAGCAGCTTAGCACATACTGTGCAGCTGTGCAGTTCTGGTCGACTGCCTTTCCTTTCTAGTGGGGTTCCGTGCTACGCGGCATCAGTTGGCACCTTGGCAGCACCGAACGGGCCACCAGGTCCGTCGGAATCACGTCGCTGTGAGGTGGGGCAGCCTCCAGGACCAATCCCCTCAATACCTCTGAAAGATTCATGGCCATTGAGTTTTTGGCAAAGAGTGTTTATGTACAAATTGGCTACACATACCAAAAATACTGTACATAATTTTATATACTCTATATATAATTAGATAAGTTCTTTGGAGCGGGTCCATAGGACCCCCAAACACTTCGTGGCCACCATAGGACCCTCAGCCAGCAAGAAAAACACGGGAAACGCCCAAATTGCTGAACAGGACACCAACTGCTGCGAGGTCCACAGAAGAGCCACAAAGCTCCTTGGCTTCGACCGAGTATATAGTCAGCCCTTCGGATCGTGCTGGTGCTCACCACCCTTTCAGTGTCAAACCGTGGCCCCCCATCGGCCCTGAAAAAATCTTTCTCATCCTCTTTCTAAAGTCCTTGTTGTTCAGAGATTGTTGTTTGCCAGGCATCATGTCGGTGTCGTTTTTCGTTGGAGGTCTTGCAAGCCTGCCAAGGGGCCCTCATAAAAGCAAGTGGATGCGACATGATACATCCTTGGAAGGTGCCAGTGTCCACTGGGATTGATCCACTACTGGCCCAATGCTGGAAGACAGCTGGCCAGCAAAAGCATACTCCTGATTCGCAGGCTTAGTGAGAACCAATATTGCATCATAGTACCAAAAAATCGACATGCTTTTAGAATAGATTCCAATGAATGAATGACCGGCATTTGAAAAAGGATCCCTCTTCGAATTACTGGAGTATGTAGGGGTGGTTGGTTCTTTAAGGAAAATGTGCCACAGAATCAACCACCCCAGGTTCGCCCATCTGAAAAGCTTTACAAAATCAAGCCCCCCAGGACGCAGGCAAGGGACAACTCTCCAGCCGATATTACAAAATCAACTGTCAGTCTCAAGATACAGTCATTGCAAAATCATATGCACTCTGTCGACATGGCTCAGCGCAATTACAAAATCAACCTCCCTGAGGTCTCAAACAAGATACAAAATCTCAATCATTCAACCTGGGTTGGAAAAACTAACGATTTTGTAATGCTGCGGTGCAATTTCATTACAGAATCAGGGATCCCAAGATATTTAGACAAAACCTAGATTACAAAATCACTACCCTCAAAGCTCGATGCATTACGGAATCAGGGAACCCAGGCGAACAGGTGAACCAAAAGATGAGGGCCTTGCTGCCAGGTGGTACGCAGCAGAGAACCATTTCGAAGAGTTGGTCAACTTCGCAGAATGTTTTGCACCAGTGCGAGACATCGATGTCTTGTTTTTCTTTGGAGCTTCCCAGAACATCATGACTCTTGTTCTTTCTAAATGTTTCCAAATTGCTTTTATATGCCTTTACTGGCCTGGGCAACATGCAATTTTGGGCGCTTGTGAAACACAGCCAGTCGGTCATTCAGCAATTATGCGAATCATGAAAAATTATGCGAATTATTGAGAATTCATGAGACCATGTTCTACAGCAGCTCAACCCACTACAAAATCAACTGTCCATGCTTTACAGCAGGTCAATCGATTACAGAATCAACTGTCCATGTTCTACACAAGGACAACCACCCCACCCTCAAACTTGCATAAAATCAAGGATCCCACCCTCAACAGTGCGGCACTTGGGACCTCCATACCAACATATCGTTCTTTACAAAATCAACAGCCCCAAGAAAGAATGCTGCCCTTACAAAATCACCCACCCCACCCCCACAAAAATGGGTACCTGGAAATAAGCTTTTTTGATCTTTTTTGTTTACAATATCGAAGCTCTTTTTGTTACCCAGGCAGGTTGATTTTGTAAAGGAAAATTGAAGGAGGATGAAAAAGGTGTATGTGTAGCATGCCTTCATGTCGCGTCTGCGGAAGTCAACACCGTCCCTCGCCGCTCGCCGTTGCCTTTTTCCGTGCTCGCACCACTTCCCACGTGCGCTGCGGCGAAAATCCGCATGCAAATGGCGAAGCGGTCCCTCTCTTCGGTGCCTGGGAAGCATAACGTTAAACAATCGCCCGAGTTCAGTTCCAGGACTGCTGATGGATCACTCTTGGTGACCTGGCCATGGGATGGTGGTGCACATACAGTCTGACTTCAAGAGAAGCCCCAAATCTTTTTCAGGTCACCTGGTCGGACTTGGGTCAAGAACGGGCTTAGGAGGTTGACCTCAAAAAAGGCACAAGCAAGGCGCGGCCGCGCCTGGACGGAGAGCTGCAGTGCTTCGGCTGCAGCCCCAACATGTACTGCCTTAAGGGACGAGAGGGAAATCTGCTTTTGAGAGCTGTCGCTCGCTCCTGAGTCATTTGGAGCGCACTCCACGTTTGGTGGCCCCAGCCCAATCCCCATGCGGGCACAGCGGGGTGACTGCGCAATCTAGACTCAAGTCACCTCCTCTGGTCTTTTGCACATGTAACAGATGTGGTGTGAGGGACAGGCCTTGAACATGACCAAGCCCAACCGAATCCTTTCAGCAACACTCTCTGCACGTAGATCCATGGACTGCTGTTCCACAACTTGAAGTCCACCATCAAACTTTATCTAAATACGGCATTATAAACCTAAAGCTTAAAAACCATGCCATGTCAACCATCTTGGCACTACAGTGCAGCCCATCCACAATCCTTCAGACACCGTATCTTTTCGTTCGACATCTTGCATGAACGCGGCTTAACTTCCTCGACCATCACTGCCCATGCTGTGTACAGTAAAAAATACAAGCACTTAACACGGGGGGGGTGCTAGTATGGGGGGTAATTGACTCAAGAAAAGCATATCGCTGGCCAACCAAGGTGCTGACCCACATGGATTTGAGATCAGCATCCAAAGAGCAAACCACCTGCTGCGAACCACCGCCACCACTGGGGACACTCAGCTCACAGCCCTTCACCATCTGCCGCACAAAAGCTTCGATGAGCACCTTGGAGGACTATGCCCAAAGAGGGTCGGCTGGAGAGGCATAAAGATGTCTGCTTGTCAGTCAGAGACTTCCTACGTGTAATCCAGGCGCTGGCCATAGCTTTCCAAGTTCATCTGGCAACCTGCTGCAGTGAATCTGGTCACATCTGGTCACCTATCCCTGTTCTGTGGTCCCCTATTCAACTGCCGACTACGACAACGACGACAGCAACACCAGGAACAAGCTAAGAACATTCGAGGCGCCTGGGTCGCATTCTGCTCTTTGGCATCCATTTTCCCCTTCTTCCCGAGAGCAGACCTGGAGCCCGACCGGGAGCCCTTGGCCGGTTTGGAGGGCTTGGACACGGCATCAAAGTTGAAGCACTGGCGGTTCTGGTCAATGAGAATCCGCATGCAGAGGATGAAACGCTCACAAGCTTCCTCATGGCCAAACTTGAAGGTGATGCACTCTCCATCCTCCAGCTCCATCACCGCACACCGCTGGTCTACCTCACAGGAAAGAAGCCAGCAGCGTGAAGGACAAAACACACTTCCATATTTTTGTTCAAGTGCCTGAGGCAGCAGCACGGATGTTGTTCCAGCATTTGTTCAAAGTAAGAGGTTGGACAAACCATCCGACAGCGCGAGCAACCTGGTCCGCTATTTCGCTGCCGGCCGGCCGGCTGGCTGGGGATAGTTACGGGCTCGACTAGCAAAGTAGCAAAAGCAGCAGAAGAAAAAGTAGCAGTAGCAGTAGTAGCAGTAGCCGCAGTAGTCTTAGTTGTAGTCGTCGTCGTCGTAAGCAAGTACCAATACGAAATAGTAGCAGCAGCAGCAGCAGCAGTCGCCGTCGTAGTTGTAGTCGTAGTGGTTGCGGTTGTGGTTGTGGTGGATGTTGTCGTCGTCATCGTGGTAGTCGTCGTCGTCGTCATCGTCGTAGGCGTAGGAGCAGCAGCAGGAGGAGGAGGAGAAGTAGTAGTAGTAGTAGTAGTGGTGGGATGTAGTGTGTAAGTATAGCTATGGCAGTTACGAGAAAGGTAGGGGCCAGCCGGCCGGCCGCCCAGCGTGCTGTGTAGCTATGGGCTCTAACGGATTCCCCGCAAGTAGGGGAATGTCGTCTTGGACCTTGGATATCGTGTTATATATAATTTGAGGTGAATAGGTGAGTGTGGGAACTAGCCATGTGGCCCGTGCCAGCATCGGGGCAAGGGGTTGAGTCCAGCAACTTTTGATGCTGGAAGAGTGGCCCGGATCATTCAACCGCTTCCGCAAACTAGTAGCGTCCTTGCTCCTAGTAGCGATGTTCTTTGTTCCTAGTAGCAAGAATGCTACTAGTAGTAATGCCAGGAGCCACTAGTTGCGTCCTTGTTCCTAGTAGCGATGCCCTTTGTTCCTAGTGGCTTCTTGCTCCTAGTAGTAATGCCAGGATCTACTAGTAGCGTCCTTGTGCCTAGTAGCGATGCCCCTTGTTCCTAG